TATAGTCCTGATATATATATTCAAGCCCAAATTCTGAAACAGAAATTAGGAAAAGTAACTACAAGCCACAAGACCAGAGCTAGTCCAAAGAGGAAAAATGACTAGCTGATATTTCTGCTAGCATACTGGGGAGGGCGTGTACTTTGGGGACTTGTTTCTGTCCAAGTGTTTCCCTCTGAGTGAGGAAAGGTTTAGGAGCTGACTTTGGAAAGCTCAGTTATGCAATCAGCTATTGGTTGCAAGATCCAGTAAAGCTACAAGTAAAACACCACTCCAGCAAGAGAGCAAATGATGGCATTTGGTGTGTCCCAATTTCCAGGCCCAAGTTAGGCCTGGACCTGTAAGACACATGTTCTTGTCATGTGAGTGATGTGTATGTTAAGTGATGTTAATGATTGTTTATTGCAAACTAAACATTTTTGCCATCTGTCAACTTTAGACAACGAATGTCAGAACAGTTCCAGCAAATGAAATGTTTCCATCACCACAAACAAGCTGTTTGCTGGATCTCACTTCAATGTGAGATTAATACAGCTGCCCATAGCCCAGAGAACAAATCTCTAAATGAAAACTAGATCTAGTTTACATTATCTGTCCCATCATCACTCTGTGTATTCCATGAATATGCTACCCAGGCACTGTTACCTGGCTTTGAGCACACAGCACACTATCCTTTCCCTCTCACGTGATTCTTTTTTTTCTTACTTGTTTTTTATCTTACCAATTACTCTGGTCTTTCGTGTGATGTGACTCAGTGGTTACTCTTTTCTAAAATGGCTGTATTCATGGTTTTAATTGACGATAGGACTTTTTCAAAGCAACACTAAAATAATTGATGTTTTAAATTATAAAAAATAATTTAAAAAAATTCCAATTTTCATGTTTTTTCCTGAATATTTGCAGAATGGGGAGGGTTAAAAAAAAGAAAAAAATGAAAGTGAAAACTAAAATGAAAAGGAAGTGGAAAGGGGAAAGAGAAAGAAGAAGAGGAAGAAAAAAGGAAAGGGAAAGAAAAAGGGAGAGAAAAAGGGGAAGAAAAAGAGAAGAAAAAAAAAAAGAAAAAGAAAAAAACCAAAACCAAAACCAAACAAACAAAAGATAAGAAAAGAAAAATATAAAAGAAGATTTTTAAAAACCGAAAGCGAAATGCAAAAAAAAGTGTGAGGAAAGGCTTTCCATGGTGTTTGCTTCCCAGCCTGAGCCCGGTCTGTAGTCACTAGAGGGCACCCCAGGACACCGAAAGCGGCTGCGCCACCCGCGCCTGCAGCCCGAGGAGATGCGGGCTGGTACCCCGGGGTGCGGGGAGGGTACGGACCCGGCTTCCGTGGCTCTGAGGTTGCACCTACATCTGGGTTTTAATTAGCATCAGAGATGTGATGCCCTATCCCTATTTACTGTGCACCACAGAGCTGTTTCTAAATGTGTGAATGAGATTGCTTCAGGATGAAACAAAGTCATAAAATGAACTCCAGAAGGGCATGTACTCCACTTGCTAAATAGAGATTCAGTCCTTGGGATGAGATTACAGCTAGGCTAAAGAAAAAACCCTTAAAATGGAATGGAATGACTACTTTCCTCTGTAGATCTGTTCTTATTGCACCATGCAAGTTGTTAATATAGACAAAACCGTGAGGCCCCTGGTCTTTTCTGAGGGAGAATGCAGCTGGAAAGTTTGTTTCAGAGTCTGAAAATCCCCAAAGTCTGTAGATATTTGGGTTATGATATTTTATTCATGCCTATCTTAAATTAAAAGCAAATAATAGAAAAAAATTTTCAAGAGACATGCAACTCCTATTTGATTAGTCTAAAGAAAGCCCAAAAGAAATGAGCTGGGTGCTGTAAGGACCCCTGACCGTTCTGACCTGGCCTTTGGGCTCGATCTTTTCCCTGCAGACTCAGGTCGTTTCAGTTCTGATGCTCTGGTTGTCCGTGTTTCATTTTCCCATGGAGGAAGTATAAAGGCAGAGCTGAGCTTGGCCCTGGCCAGACCTCCCAGACACCTCTCCTTGCTGGGAATAGTGAACCTTTATTGCTGAGGTCTAGGTTCCTCGAAGTGGCCTGCAAGCTCAGTGAACCTGAACAGTCCAAGCGAAACCCAAGCAAAGCCACACAGTTTGAAACACTCTTGGAATAAAATCCCCTCCCCGGCGTCGGCTTGGTGCTCAAGGGGAGAGGCAGAACACGGCAAACTTGGCTCTGTTTTACCCCAAGCTTTCAGGAAACTCCTCACAGTGAGGGCCAAGAGCTATGTTCATAACAAAACTTAAACCCAAGGAAAATTTATCACGTTTTTAGTTTCTTCATGAAAGGTTAGAGCAACTTGGGATGTGCTCTGCTGGGATAAAAGAAGAGAAGAATTCTGCCCTTAAGGGCCAGTTTCACATCCATTGAAATCACATGCAAAACTCCCAGGGAAGCAAGCTTAAACTTTTAAACGCTGTTGGAAAAGCAGCTACCACAGTTCTCTGTCATTCTAGTTAACCATCTATAAACAGTTACTCACTTGACCTCTATTTGATCTCTCCCTCTGCCCTCCAAGGAATCTTTCAGGGCCAAAATACATTATGGATATCTCTGTGTACCTGAATGTTGGCGGCAGTTTTACTGTGATGAGAACAGATCTCTTGCAATTCTATCTGAAATCTGGTTATTTGGGGAAATTTTTTTTCTTTCTGCAGACAAATCCAACAAGCGACTTCTCTTAGTATTGATTTGTTGCAAATGCTTAATACTAAAAGTCCTGTTCACTATACATGTGATGGATGAGTTTAGAACCCTGACATGGCAGTAGGGAGAGAAAATAGTCTTAGCACTTGAAACAGGAAAGTCAGACAGGAAATATCTGTTTGAAGATATTTGAAATATCTTCAAATCACACTAGAGTTGTCCTTTTCTAGCAGCTGCTTGGATGTGCAGCAAGATGGCGAAGCCTTCAAGCTTTCACCTGATAAGTAGTCTTGAGGGGAAAAAAAAACATTGTGGAGGAATGCTGCAAGAATAAGGCTGCTATTAAAAAAAAAGATTTCTTAAGCAAAACAAGAATGACAGTAAGATGGAGGTAAATTAAGGGCATATAGCCAGTAACTGAAGGAAGAATTTTATATGGATGCCTTGGTTATTTTTTTTTTTAGTATGATAAACCAAAGAATTTCAGAGTTTAGTTACAAAAGAATATAAATACATAAAAATATTGAAACACCTAAAATCTCCAAGTACTCCTAACTTTGCATGCTAAGGATACCATGCAGTAGTTAATATCTATTTTAACATTTTAGCTTCATTTCCTTCCCATCAGAGTATCATACTATGTGGAAATAAGCAGTTTAAGCATGCTTTAAAGACTTAATCTTATTGAGAAAGAAACAGAGCTGCATCTAGAGACAGGGATGCTAAACTACTGTAGTTATTATCATGTGGGTTAGTAGATGAAGTTACAACCAGAGATAAGGTCAATTTTGTATCTTAATTGTGCAGTCCAACAGCCTAATATATATAGAATTCTTAATGTATTTATCCTTAAGTCTAGAACCTGAAATAATGTAATGTATGTTACTTGAAATGGCTGAGGTGTGCTGTTAATCTTAACTCCACTTAAACATAGATTCTGTGTGAACACTGTGGCATTTATTTACAGATAATAAGTCCAGGAAATATTAAGGAAGATCACAGTCAAATAGCATTAGCAAGAAAAAGATGAAAACAAGGGTACTGTTTTCCCAACATGAAGACATTCAGTTTAATTCTTGACTCACCAAAAATTTTCTTAACAAGTTGTGTTATATTGGCCAGAAATAACTTGGTTTAGAAATAGTCTTTGGAGATTTAAAACAACACCAGATAATAATGATTTCATTGCTGGGTTATGCCAGTCTAAAATTCTAAGCAACAGAAATGTTGCCATCTTCTCATTTAAGAGGAAATGTAATTTGATACAAGCACACTAAAAATTTGGAATATTGTATTATTAAAAAAGGCTGTCTCAAGCTGTGTTGAAATCAACAGTGGGTCTGTTTAAGGTTTCTGAATTCATCCTTTCTTTGTTAGCATTCAGATAAAAGATTAAATTTACTGGCTATTAGGGAGTTCTGGCTGCAGCTGGTTGGGGGGGAATGGGGAGAGAGAGAGAGAGAGAGAGAGAGAGAGAGAGAGAGAGAGAGAGAGAGAGAGAGAGAGAGAGAGAGAGAGAGAGAGAAGGGGAGAGATATTCAGTCACCCAGATCATCAAGGGGTGTAGCCTGGATTTTTTGAGCATCCAGATAAACACTGGTCAATTCTGTGGGAGTTAACATTAAGTTGAAACGAACTTTTCAAGGAATTTAACACTTAGCAAGTCATTTGACTTTCCTTTTAAATGTACAATTCGTTCAGATTTCCCTGAGTTCATAGTTGTAGTTTGGGGTGAGGGGGAAACCATGAGACCCCCACTGAGGGGGGAGGGTTTCTTTGTTTTGTTTTGTTATTTTGTTGCTGGTTAAATCTTAAGATCAGAATTGTTGTACTGCGAGCAGCAATTTGTGCTGGACGGGAATTAAAACCCAAAATCGTCGTTCATGAAAATCTCTCGGAGTTCATTCAGATGAGCTCGGCTGTTGTACGGAGATCTCTTCTTCACCCCGAGAGCAGGATGACAGCGGTGAAGCCGCGAAGGCAGCCCCGGTGCAGAGCTGTGGGTCGGTGCGGGCTCCCCGCCCTCGCTGTCCCCGCAGCCCCTCTCCGCGCTCCGCTCCGCGGGCTCGGCTGCGCTCTGACCCAAACAATTCTCCTGCACTTGAGGGTACCAGCGGGGCACGTCCTGTGCTGCTCCGGGAAAATCACCCTGGCAAAATGACCCCGAAGCCTGCTTTGGTGTCTTGATTTCTGCATGGTGGAGAACACACCCGCGGGTCCGTGCGGGTGTGTGCACGCGTGAGGAGGAAGGACGCGGAGCACGAAATACCAGCGGTCCTCCCGGCAGCCGTCGATGCGGGGCGGTCCAGCACGGCGGGATGGCCTCTCTGCCCATGCCAAGATCCCGGGGACTTTACCCAACACCTGGACCCCCCACCTCCCAGCCCCGCCAGGCTCCCCTCCCAGGCCGACTGGGAGGAGTCGGGAAGGCTACGGAGGGATGGTGCCGAGTGAGGTATCCCGGTACTCCTGTCTCCTTCTCGGGAGACTTGGTCTCCCATGCAGAGGTGGCGGTGGCAGAGGGGAAGGACAGCCGAGGTGCAGGGGGACGGAGGCATCCTCCTGCCCTAAGGAGAAGGGTGTGGACCCTCTGATGCTGGAGCACTCAGCTCTCCAGAGGTGTAGGGAGAGCCCTTTTATCTGCGTGCTGCGACTCCTCGAATCAGCTCTGAAGGTCTGTCCAGACATTTCCTAGGATCCAGTTTTCACCTTCAGTCGCAACACGTCTGCATGTCTGAGGGGGAGACTGCTGCTCAGATTTGACTCTGATCTCGTTCCACATTCATCCAGTCTAATTAGATCCTTGGGCTGTTTTTCTCTGTGGCAATAGCAACAGCAGACAGGCGATTACTTTTAAGTGTTATTACTCTAAATAATTGAGTCTCTAAGTGTAGTGCGGACGTAACAGTGTATCTGCTAAGTGCAATGTGGATGTCCCCATGTGCCAGTGGTAGCACTGGTGGGACAGCAGCACTCCTAGTAGTGTTTGCAATTACGATTAGCTTCTCCTGTCCCTGCAGAGTGTCACAGCTGTCACGGCAGCAGGAGCCAGACTCACAGCGCTAGTTACAAGCATTGGCCCTTTCAGTGCATCAGGTTCCTGCACTACTGTGCTAGTTCACGTAAAAGAAAGGGGCGGAGGTGGGAACGAGATCAGTCTAAACAAAATGAGCACTCCTTGGTAAGCAGAGACTAAGAAATACAATTAACTAGGTTTAAGGAGCTGGATGCGTATGTGTCAGGGAGGGTTCCTGTTAGTCACCCAGTATCACTGCAAGCATTTCCCCTGACCTCTAGAAATAATCTCAGTAAAACAACCACAGGTTAGCACAGGTACAATATCTGGGCTCTTGTTTCCAATCTCACAGGCTATGGTTGGGAGAGTTTGCAGTTAACCAGGATATAAAACAACTCTGCTGCTGTCTCTGGTGGCATTGTGAACTTGTCCTTTAAACAGTTCCATACTAGGATTAACTGTACCCACTTGCCTCTGCACTGTCCCAACTGAAGGTGCCTGTTTTAAAAGCAGACGAGGAGCCCAAGTTCAATCAAAGCCTCGATGTTTATTTAAAGTATTTAATAGCAACAAACAGGGCCCCGTGGGCTTGGGCTGCAGACAGCGAGGACATGCTTAAGTCGATTACACTTGACAATGCTGTAATAGCTGAGGGCAAGTGACACCCCTGGGCCTCTGGGCTCTTCAGGGCTACCAGGGCTTTCAGCCGAGGTGCCAGGGAGCCCAATGGCATCTGCAATACAAAAGAGGTGGAATGTTGGCAGCAAATGTACAGCTGGGTTCAGTTAATACGGGGAAGAGGTGACGTTTGGGGCCAAACACGTGCAGGCAAAAACTGAAAACCTGTCTCTCTTTTTTTTACCCCCAAATGCCCACAGAAACTTCTGGGAGGATACTTGGTATAAGGCGCTGGATCCTGTGCCCAGGCCACCAGTGTAAACCTAGATTCGCGCCCACCAGAGTGAAGAGGAAGCTTTCTCCTCTCCCTGGTGTGAACGCTTAAGGGACGCGTCACCCCCCCGCTTCCCCGGCTCGAGCAGCTCCGGTTCAAGAACAGCGGGGCCAGGGTGCCCAAAAAGGGCCGGGGCTGGCATAGTTTGGTGAGGAAACTTTCTCCTCCCGGCTAGGGCTGGTTGGGGTGATGGTGATCCCCGTCCCCCCGCGCGCAGCCCGAGCCGGTCGGGCGGGGGGGACCCCGGGAAGCGCTCTGCCAGGGGGGCTCGGGGCGCAGGGCTGCGGGGGCAAAGCGCTGTGTCTGGGGAGGGGGCTGCCGGAGCGGAGCGAGAAGCCCTCGCTCTTTTGGTTCCTTTCCAAGCATTTTTTAGCGGAGGAAGGATGTAATAACATGCCACGGGCAATAAATCATAGACTAGCTACTCCCCCTGGCTCCCCTCCCCCCTCCCGGCGGTCCCGGCCCCTCTATAGCGGGAGGGGCGGTGGGGCCGCCGGCAGAGCGGCCGCGACCGCCGGACGCAGCAGACCCAGCGCCTGCCCGCGTCCGCCAGCCGCTTCCAGCAGTGGACCTCCGCGCCCTGGCGCTGCTCTGCCTTCGCCCTGGCCGTCATCTCCTCTCAGAGGGTAAGTGAGCTGCGGGCCCGCGCCGCTCTCCCGCCTGCTTGCCGCTGGCATCGCTCCTGCCGGCAGCCCGACCAGGAGCGATGGTCCCCGCGGAAATCCCCGCTCTTCCCCCAACTCTCCCGCAGCCGGGCCGCTGTCCCGCGGTCGGGCTCGGCGCGGCACAGATTGCGCGTCTGGCAGCCCGAGTGATGGCTGCTGTGAGCTGGAAGCGGGCAGGCTCCCATCCCTCCCTCCCCTCCATCCTTCCCTGGCTTTTTTCAAAAAGCTGGCCAAAGCGGTCCTCTCTGCCAAACTCGCCCCAGATTGAAATCGTCTGGGGTAAGACTTTCAGCAGCGCTCGGTCTGCAGGGAGGTGGTTTGGCCGCAAAATATGCATATCGACTTTCCCTTTGGAAAAACCCAACCCTTAAAGTTACAAGAAATTAGAAACAGGCGGTTGTTCAATTCCTTTTCTGTCCTCTGTCGTGATCTATCTTCCCTCAATCAATGCAGAGCTGAGCCAAAGCGGTCACTCGGCAGGAATTTACCGCGCCCCCGGCGCGGGTGCACGGGGAGGTTTCGGGGGGCGCAGGGATCTTCAGTGACGAGGGGTCTGGGGGGTCGCGGGCTGGCGGCCGGCACTGCTTTTGGTCTCGAAGGCAGCGGCCCCCGCAGTCATCCTTGCCGCACCGCAGCGCCGTCTCACAGCCCGATCGCCCCACGCCAGTCCCCGCGGTCCCGCGTGTCTACCCTGAAGCCCGGCCACAGCGGCAGCTTCCCGGCTTGTTTGCCGGCTGCACTCCGTGGGAGCCGCCGGGTTCGGACAGCCCCGGAGAGCGCGGCAACCCGTGCTTCTTGCCCCGCATCCCGCGGGGAGCCCTGTACCCTGGGGCTCCGGGGGAGCGGGGACCGCGCGGGGCAGCCGCACTCCCCACGCGTGGAGGGGCGAGGGTCCTGCCCGCAACTTCTAGGCATCTCCCGGACGTTCTTCTTGCGTCTGGCGTCTCGCCTGGCAGAGATTTGCCACCACTTGTCCGTTCATCGAAACCTCGCTGACTGGATAATAGGCGCTTTTTCAAACTTTCGCTCCCGTCCTATTCTTCCATTCTGTCGACCGAAACTTGGGTGTTCCCGACCCAGGGCGGCCGAGGATGCCCTCCGGTGCCCTCTTTGTTTAGCCTGAGAGAGTTAATTGCTCCCGAATATTTCCCCGATACCTTTCCATAATACTGTCCCCGCAACAGCCCCGTCCCGGTGGAACACGGAGGGCACTGTCCAGCGAGCCGGCCCGGCCCAGGTGGGCTCCGGCCCGCGCCGCGTTCGCCGGGACCCACCACCCTGGGGCTGCAGACTGGGGGGCGAGCGGCAGGCAGCGAAGGCAGACCCGGGGGACCACGAGTGGCAGTGCCAGCCCCGGCGAGTGCAGGTCTAGAGGCATGGGAGTAGGGGACCGGGGGCTCAGGAGCTCTCCCTCTCCTCCTTCCCTCTGGCAGTGCTTGGCTCAGGGTTGGGGGGCCCACAGAGCTGCCCGGCTGCACCTCGGTTCGCTCCTAGCGCGGCTGCACTCCCTTGCTGGCAGCGAGCGACAGCGGGTATCTTTATAGGGGGTAAGCGTGTGGGGACATAGCTACCTGAGTAAGGAAAAGAGCTGGAGAGAAACTAGCGTAAGGACAGTGACCCCCACCGTCTTGCAGCGATAAGAGAGTTTTTTTGCCTATTTCTTTGCATGTCGTATAGTGCTCTCAACCCTGATCCAGATGAGGTCTTGCAGGGCTTCCTGGTACTGGAAGGTAGGTGAGCTCTGAATTCTTCCTAGTCACCTGGTAAAGTTCTATCTGTCTATCCCAGCTTTGCTTTCCAGGGAAATGTAGCTGTTCTAGACTTAAAAAGTTACCATCCATCTCCTGATAATGACAGATGCATCCTAAACTAAACAGAAGTAAAATGATGCTTCCATCAAATGTTTTGTCTGTTCACGTCCAGCCTGCTTGCCTGGATATAGCTTCCCTCTCTATTCAACCGTCCAGAGCTTCCTAGCCCACACAGCAAGTTACTATCAGCAACTTTGCAGAACTGGCAACTCACTTCTTCCCTTACTGTCCAGTTTCAGTGTGGGTGAACAGAAGCAGATCCCTATGGGGTGAAATAGGTATCATCCAACATTGACAAGTCGCCACTCTGGGAGAGGGTTTTGTGTGTGATTTCTAGAAAGAATTTGCTAGTAAAGGTGGGTGTTCAGAGCCAGCAAAACTCGAATTTGGGTTAGAAAGCAATAAAACTATTTATTATTTTTGAAAAGCCCAAATCCAAAACCCTTCTCTTCTAGTCGAGGTCAAAAGAGGTTCTTTTTTTCTTCTCATCTAAGTAAAATTAGGCTGAAGGAATGACACTGAGATGTCTGACTAGCATCTGTTTTTTCTGTAACTTTTGACTGTATTCTACCATTTTAACTAAATGTACCAGACAGATAAAGGTCTCAAAAGCTTTATGTACCATCAGTTGCATGAAAACCGATGTTTTCATCTAACGGAGCAATTAACAGACTATATTAATTTGCCCCACTGTGAGAATGGCTTCAGCTTGTGCTCAGTGTTTGTTAGACATCAGAGACCTCCCAGAGCATTAACACTTGCAGTACACGTGTAGATGTTTAGGATAGTCGTGCTTGTAGCAAATGTGGGTAGAGTCCTTCCCAAATCTTCCTTCTCAAAGCCTAGCCATGATGATGATGATGATGATGACGTGTAGAATAATTAATCAGCTTAACCAGCCCTAATGTGCATGGAACAATATGTTTCAAATTTTGAAATGAAATAGGGAATGTGTTTGTCAGCCTCAAAGCAAGACCAGAAATGTCTCCTTCCTAAATTATGGCCCCCAAATGGCCCCTTCCCCCTCCTACTTTAGGAAGATAGGGGTTCATGTCTTGGGAGATGTCACATGCACTAGTTTTCCCTGGTTTTCAGCCTTGAGAGCGCAGTGAACCAAGGAGCAGTGGCAGGAGATACTAGTTCCCTCTTAGTGGTACAGAGAGCTGACCTGATCAGTGCCTGTGCTGATGCTCCCTGGTGCTCAGTGCCTGTTGCTGATCATCACCAAGCAAAGGGATTCTTGTGCTGGGGGGGATTTGTCACTGAACACTGAATGCTAGGACTTCTCTTCCTTGCTGTGCTGGATGCCTTTTCTTGGGCCAGAAACAACTTTAGGACTTACAGACACGTTAGTCATGGTTAAACTTTCTCTGCTCCTGATTTCAAGTGGTATGGGATTGAAAATATCGCCTCGAGTCTCAGAGAGGACAGGATTACATTATCAAATCATAGATCTGAACAGTTCATCTCTTGCATGTTGTTTAGGTTAAAGCTTGCTTAAACTTAGTTGGTACAAGCTTGCAGAGACAGTGTCACTGCAGCTGTGCTGAGTGGTGTTGTATGACTGTATTGTTTCAGCCTCCCTTTCCAATACAAGCTCACAGATGTGTAGCTATCAGGCACAGATTTGCAGTGGAAAATCCTAGTACCTTCCTCACTCCCTTTCACATTAGCACTAGCCAGTCTAAGGCATTCTCTCAAGGTTCACCCTGTAGCCCTCCTTCCTCCTCCCCCTGCAGATGGGAGCTTCTCCTCCCTTTTATTAACTCCTAGATGGGATCACTGAAAGAAAAGTCCTTCAATTTTCTTAACCCAGATTCTGGTGTGAATCTAGAGGAGCTCTACTCCCACTGATTAATTTCACTCATATGGCATCTGATTCTGGTTTATCGCTTGGTAGAGGCACTTGGAAAAAAGGTTTCCCTCCTGAGGACAGGAAAATTTCACCCTGTTGTCTATGGTTATGTGTGCTAGAGACAGGCATCGATAAGTGTGCGATATATGTAGATCAGTTACCCTTTGAAAGCTGTCTCTTTTCTCACCTTCCTAGACAGCTGTTAAGATATTCCAAGCCTTAGCTCCCCATCTGCCTTTAAGGGAACTGGATTTGGATGCTGCAAATAATCCTGTGTGGCTAAACAAACAGGGCCCCAGATTGCCATGTGGTATCTCAAACCCTGTCAGATATAGATCTGACCATCTACAGCATGAGCCAGACCTCTAGGGTTAGGTATATGAATTTAATTCCTCTCAGAGACTGAAAACTGCTCCACTGGGAAATTGTTTAAAATCTTAGTCATCTCCTCCTAGACTTCCAGGCAAGACTTCTGTGTTTGTATTTTATTGCGCTTGGAGCTTTGAAACTTAGTACCTTACTCATGTGCACTTCGTTGCCAGTAATCAAGTTCTCCCATGGACAAATCGGGTAGCAGAGGCTGTAGTGGGCTCCAGGCTGGTTTTCTCATGTATATGCATGCATATACATGGCTGATTTTTAGCCTAGGGCGTTAAACCTAATTCTGTCCCTAATGATGCCAGTGACAGAACTCTCCTCCAGTCCGGTGGCCCCTGAATAGTGTATTTAGGGCGCCCTGCCTGATAACTGTCTCCTCGATTGCCGTTATTTAGCCACAGGCTGAAAATTCAAAAGACTCAAAATCTCTTCTGTAAAACCGCTTGGATCTCACATCTCTGAGCCTCACCTTCTTGTGCCTGTACCTCGGTTGGGAGTCAGAGCTGGCAGCAGTGAGGAAAGGTCAGCTGGGCCCTGGGAACGCCTGCAAAACCGGGGTTTTTCTGTAGCCAGTAAGTCCCCTGTGAAAAGCCTGCACCTGAGCCGATCGTTTTGATCTGAACTCTTTGGAATTCATCGCTTTCTTCTGGCTACCTTCTAATTTGGCCTCGGGTCAAAATCGTTTGAGTAGAACAACACTGAGGACAAGTGCCCCCTCTTTTGGCCTTTATCTTGTCTAATTACCAGGAGCATCCCTGCACAATGGAGCGGCTCCTTATTCTAATCTCTTCTACTTTACTTATCTTCATTTTCTTTCCCGCTTCTTTTGTCTTTCAAAATCCCACGCACCGTTATTGAAAGGCTGGACACCGGGCTAAAGGGATTGTGCTCTGAGCTGTGAGCAAATGCTCTCCCAAAGTTACAGCTTTTCTACTGCTGTTTTTTCACCTGCATATTTGGAGGGAGTTCCTTTCTGTTGGCCCTGTTCTGTGTATCTGTGCTGCTGACCGGGAGCAAGAGGGAGTAAGCAAGAGGGAGTAACGTGTCCTTTCCCTCCCTTTGTCTCGCAGAGAAACCCGTCAGCCTGACTTACCGATGTCCCTGTCGATTCTACGAGAGCAACGTGGCAAGAGCCAACATTAAGCACCTCAAAATCCTCTCCACACCTAACTGCTCACTTCAAATTGTGTAAGTCTTTTTTCATCTGGGTGCAAATCTCAGGTGTCAAAAAGAAGAGTCACAGAGCTGGTGCCTGCTCTGGTAGTTGTGTTTCAGTCTGTCTCATCCATGATACCGAATTCATCTCTTCACCCCATATGTCAGATACAGCTGGACTCTGCTTTACCCCACATGAAGGAGCCCAGCTGGATGTTTCTCAGCTGTGTTCTACCTCTGTGATTTCCCTGTGACTCTGTGATCCCATGTCCTGTTCCCCCGTGGGTGTGTGAGCAGCAGTGTCAGACAGGCTGTCCATTGCCTTCAATGTGGAGCTTCACACCTTGGGGTAAAGACTTTACAGTGGGGTCTGAGTCTTCTAATTTTTCACTTCACCATAGAGTGGAGCTAAACAAGCAGAAGGAATTCCTGTATTTCATGTATCCTCCACAGGAGGTACAGACTCTAAACATGTGATGGCCTGATCTAGGAACACTTAACAGTGACTGTCTCAGTAAATTCAAGCTGGACAGAAATTATGGCTTCCCAATGGAAAATAACCTCTTCATTTTTGCTGAAAAAGAAACCCTGGTTTTCAGGAAAAATGGGGGGTTTAATGTTTGTTTTTGTAGATTCGTGTGTGTGTGTGTGTGTATGTGTGTTTTAGGAAAGGTTTTTTGGTTCCTGGGTGACCCCCTTTCTCCCCTCCCAGAATTCAAAATCTTCAGAAGAAGAGAAATAACATTCATCTTTTCATTGCATGATAGCCTTACTACTATCAACTTCTCTTGATCTCTGTAAGAGGGTGTCAGTGACTAGATTTGGTGTCTGTGCAGTCCCATTACTAGTGCAGTCTTTGACCCATGTGTTGAGCCCTTCCTCTTGCCACTCAAATGCTGTAAAAATCCGTTCTTGTCATCCAAAACATTTCTTCACTCAGAAAACTGGTGTGGTTTGCATCAGATATCTCAGGAATGTGTATGAGTGTGTATCCATTCATGAAACAGTTTTTATTTATGATTTTTTTCTGTTTTAAACCACTCTGGGTATATCATACACATTTTATCATGTGTGTTTCTGCCTTAGGATTTGGTGGAGGACAGTGAGAAAAATGTAAGCCTCAGCTGAGAAATAATTTCCTTTCACAGAAATGGCAAAACCAGCTGTGACAAACTCCAATCTCTACCTATAAACAATTTTGGAGGCAAGCATCCAAAATGCAAGAGTGCATGGATCTGTGCTCTGGGACTGTCAGTGGATGTCATAAGGGTCCCAGTGCTAAGGCTTTGTAGAGGATTTTGAATTTTTTGGAGTAATTTCAAGAAAATGACAGCATTTAAGAGAGGATAGAGTATATACTTATCTCCTAATTAATGTAGGATTATAGTCAATAAAGATAGATAAGAACACGAAATACAGAAACAGAAACATCTCATGTTCTTGTCCGTTCCTGCCCCAAATGTGTTTGTCTGTGGTACAGAGAACACATGAACCTGTAGTTTACCATCTTTTTGTTACTTTAAAAAGTAAGGTACTTGAAAACCTCCCTCCAAATACTCTTGAAACATCATGAGTTTGAACTAGGTCTTTATCAAAACAGGGGGTAAAGTATAATCAAAACTAACATATGAATTTCTCATCTTGATGGTTTTAAGCATTATACAGTAAATAAATAAAAAGCTACTGTTTTCAGGAATAGAGAATGAATCTAAGTGACACATATAGTTGCCAGGAAATATTTTGTGGTTTGGTTTTGGTTGTTTTGTTTGGGGGGTTTTTGTTTGTTTGTTTTTGGGTTTTTTTGTTTGTGTTTCTGTGGGTTTTTGTTGTTTTGTGTTTTTTTGTTTGTTTGTTTGTTTTTCTGTGGTTTTTTGTTTTTGTTTGTTTGTTTGTTTTGTTTTTTGCACAAATACATTTTCCTTTTTGGTTGAGGGGAATTGTACCTGAAAAAAAGTCTTAAGAGCAGGCTTTTGCCTTTCATTCTATTGGAAGTTATCTCTCCAAATCCAAGGAACTCCTCTGTCAATGTGTACTTCTACAAAGCCCACACTAAATTCCTTGCTTTTCAGTGCAGGGAAATAAGCATTTTTAGCATGCAATTAATTGCATTAAGTAGACACCTAAACCAGTCCAAGTTAAACACTCCATACAGTGCCTACATCTCTTCTGTGACTGCACAGGGAGCAGGGGCTGACAGGCTCAGAAATAAATGTCTAAAGAAGTCAATGTCTTAATATTAGGTGAGAGGTAATATTAGGTGAGAGGAATTGTGTGTGGCTGGAGACTGGTTACGTGTGCTTTTGATTCTGTGTCCTGTGAGGCCGAGAATTCCCAGGCATTGCTAACATCAGCAAATCCATTCTTGCACTCTGTTGGTATCACTTCACTGGAAATGCTCCAGCTTGGCACTGCTGTAAGGGAAATATGAATTAAGCCCATTCATCTCTTTATTGGCGCAGGGATTGCAAAACGGATCTTCGATGTGTTTATATTACAACTGTGTTGTTGCATAACTTCAGACCAAGGAGCCTTTTTGACCTGTTATTTCTTATGCCATAGTTTTATATTCTGCAGATTTCATTTTATAAAGTGAGGAACATTTTGGCTCCCATCCAGAAAAATGTTTAAACAAGCACTGAACTTATTCGTATGGGCATTTCCATAAAATTGCTGTTCTTTGCACTTTTCCATGGCAGGCAGGCTGTTTAAAGGGGAAATTTTTGAGCAGCTGGGGCAGAGGCAGGGTGCTGCAGGGAAAGCAGGAGATAACAACACTCAAGAGGCCCTGAGATCCCTGGAGGGCGAGACCTGCTGGTGAAAAGCTATTTGTCCTGGTTCTGAATGAAAGGTGCAGATAAGCACAAATTCAAGGCTGAATTCAAATTAGCTAAACAGTCTGGTGTGGGTAGTGCAGCTTGGACATCCAGGAGAACCCCCTCAGGAAGTTTCTGCCTTTGTTTCTAGTGCTGAGTGAATACATGAGGGGAAACCTGCCTCTGGCACTATGATACTTACAGTTGTCTTCCTGATTGCAACCTGTTAGTTCAGTCTTAGTGTAATACAAAAAGCTAACAGGTGACCAGACCCTTTCTTTCAGAAAATTCAAGAAGTATGGTTTTATATCTGTCCTCAAAACCTGTGAAACTTCAGTTTTGGGTTGAGTCTGAAAGCTGTTCTTAATCAATTCCTTACAAAAATTACCTAAATTTACCATGTCAGTATTTCCAAATGAAATTTTTCCTGTTGCTGGCACTGGACAGCCCAGATATGAATTGGAAATCTTACATTCAAATTCTGTATTTGTCCCACTCTCGCATGATTCCCACTAGAGACCACAAGAGTCAGCATTGAAGGAGACAGGTGGTACCAGTGCTTCCAAAACAGTGATATTTATAAAAGGTATCTTGAGGGTGGGTTAACCGAGAGCAGCACTGGCACCCAAGGAAAATAAGGCACCCAGGGATAGGTGGTGGATGTGGGCTGAGGAGTGTTGCAATCAGACTCACTCTGACTTTTCTTCTTTGGCAGCGCAAGGCTCAAGAGCAACAGCAAGCAAGTATGCATTGATCCCAAGTTAAAGTGGATCCAGGAATATCTGGAGAAGGCTTTAAACAAGTAAGGCAAGACACAAATGGACTTAACAGCTAACATCCAGAGTTATTAAAGGGTAGAACATTAAGGGCTGGCTTTTACCGTGTGGACAAAGTACTTGTGGAATCAGATATTGTTTTGAAGAAGGGTTTGGAATTGACCTAATTTGTATTAAAACAACAGCTTCTAGTATATCCTAGATGTTAAACTAAGAATTTTGCCAGGGTTTGAGGCAAAATCAATGCAAATGAATATGTTCTGGGGTCCTAAACTCATCCTCTTTTTAAAAAAAAGCCGTTCTCCCAAGGAAAATTCTTCCTTTATGCCCCCTCCTCCCCAAGCCAAACTACAATTCCTTCAGAATCTATATCGTTCCAGTGTCTTTGGAGCCCCTTCTCCATGTTATACCAGGACTCTGGTTGCACAGGCAGCTGAGGCCTAGGGCACTAAAAATTGTCTCTCTGCTGGCCAGTGTGGAGTGCTAATAATGTCGGCCGAGGCGAGATGTGCTGACACGAATAAGGCTTTCCCATAAGGCCAGAGGCAAACCAGCCAAACCTGGCAAATTCAGACTCTTTAAATCTGTTTTTATTACCCTTGAAAGTGGTTGATCATGTCTACTTTGAGGTGGACTCAGTCCATATCTGTTCAATTTTACATCAAGAAAGAAAGAGCAGCACAGAGCAAATTTCCGTGTTGAGCTGCAGGGGAGGGCTCCAGCCTTCCAGGTTTAGAAGATGAGACAGGTGATGGTACAAAGCATTTCCTTGCTCTTAATCTAGCAGGGCTGCTGTTGATTCAGCAGCAACATTTTGGCCAGCAAGCCTACCTGTGCACTCAGTATCCCTCTCACCCTTGCCCACCACATTCCCACCCCTCAGTAACTGCGCTGTAACCCTGCTAAACCTTGCCCCCCCTGCATCTGTGGGGTGAAGGCAGGGCTGGAATCCAGTAATTTGCAAAAGCAATGCATTATTTGGGAAGGTATGGCCCCAGGGCAGATGTGAGGCACAGGTAGCTGAATGCCCTCCACTGTTTGCTTTGTAAATGCATCTGCCAAACAAGGGGTAGAGTTAAAAAAAAAATAAAATTCTTTGTTGTCCCCCCCCCCCCGTGTTCTTACAATAAGCAAGGGGGAAAAACACTGCCAGAAGTAGAGAGATCCCTCCATGTGTCCCTTTAATCACCACACTGGGGCCAAGAGTGAGGAGGAAGAAGGAAAGAAGCCAGCTAACTGTGATTCCAGCCCTGACAGCTCTTCCCATCTCATCCAATGCTCAGTGCCTTCTATGCTGCCACCACTCAGCCCTTTTGTCCTTTGGACAAATTCTCTGTAGAAGTAATCCAGGTTAATGCTGCCAGGATGGCTTTGGGTTTAGATACAACTGAACCTAAGAGTAGGATGTGGCTCATGCTGACTATCCTAGGGACTTGAGCTACTCTGTTTTACAAGTTGGGAAAGTCCTCAAGCTCCTGCTTGAGCTTCTGTTTGCTGTCATCCCCAACCTGAAACTTAGGAGGCACTTTAGAAATGTGTAGGGTTGGGCAAATGTGATTGTGTGCCTGTCTGACTTAGGGGAACGACTCAGCTGGAACACGATCTGCTCTCACTTCCACTAGTGAAGTTGTGGGGCCAGCTCTGCTGAAACCAATGAGCCTGATCTCCAGCCAGATTCTGGGTTTTGTTTACCTAATGCAATTCTGCTAATTTGGTGTATTTCATCCTGGTTTACACTGAGTAACAAAAGAGAATTTGGTCCCAGCTCTATGAAATGACAGAAAACATATATCTCCATCACCTAATCCTGTAATCATTGCATTGTTTTCATTTTCCAACTAGTAATGCTAGCACCAGTGGCATTTTCATGCTCCACAGACAGTCAGGGCTCTGTCTGTAGCATTTTCACAAGGCATGTTTTCGATATATTTTAGTGCACAGCTTTGACTTCTGAAACGTACTTTGGAATATATTTATAGCGCATCAAATAATTCATATATTTGAATTGGAGCCATATGAATGTTGGTAGTTTAAAACACCGATATCCCTCTAAACTACTAACAGCTTGTAAAATGAATCTATATAGATCTATAAATGTTAATGTAGCTATCAGTTTCAATCAGCCATATATTATATTTTTTCACTTGTACTGAAATTGTATTAAATGTGACATTACCCTATATGCACTAGCAATAAAATGGCTAATTGTTTCATGTTATGAAAACCCAATTGTACATGGGAATTTATTTTTCTGGAATAAAATCAATACGTTTTGTAGAAAGGGCTCTTGTAATTGTTTAAGTAGAATCCAAACTGTGAAGACATCCTAATCTATACCATCACTTCAATATGAGAATATCTTCAGTGTTATAATCTGAAGCTAAGAGCAAGGAAAAGTTCCTAGAATAGTAATCCAATAAAATTAATTGTGAAACCAGAGATAGTTTCTAGTAGGGAATTATTTTGCTCACTAATTCTGCTTAGGCTTTATTATTGCTTTATATTCATCACATCTCCATGTAATATACACACTCATGAGACATCAGTAAAATACATTCAGGCTGTCAAGAATTCAAATTCCTTAACTGGCTTTAAAAATCATTGAACAGCTGCTGTGGCCAACATCATTCAACATTCATTCATTTTATAGACAAGGGGCAAATCAGTCCTTTCTTGAAATAGCTAACAAATCCTCTATCACTTCCAGGCAATCCTAGTCATCATTTACAGTACATTGACTCCCTTTCCCTTCTCCTTTTGTAAAAGGATAATGCAAAATCAGGTCCTTACAGAGTTTACAGAGCCCAAAATAAACAGAGACCATCTTGTCCACTGTCATGTTAATATAGTCCCACTGCAGAACTTCCCTCAGTCCAAGATGCTGGAATCCATTAAACTCAGCCACTACTGTAGGCACAGAGAAGAGAGCTGATGGATTTGGAGAAGATAATAAAGTCACATTGGAAAAACCTTTGCTGGGAGAAAGGAATGGAAACTCTCAGTACTGCTGCCTTCTTACATTGTGTTGGTAAACCCCAGTGTGGCAGCTCTTCCTAATTTCTGACCTCATTTGTAAACAAGGGCTGAAGTCCAAGATACCAGAACAACAACCTCCCAGAACTCCACCAAGTGTGTGTGGGGTGAAGGCCCCACACGGAGGGGGACAATGTAGGTGACTGTCTTTATAGCCTTGTTTTAAGGCACTGAATGCCCACAAATCTCCTTAGAGTAGCCATTGGTTCTTGCTGATGCATTTGGGGAGGGTTAGGCATTTTGGGTGAAAGGGTTGTTCTGGCCTTAGAGTTTTCAAATGTCCTGCCACCAGGGCACTTTCATTTGCCTAGCATTCCTATGAGGCAGAGGGTATATGAAAGGGGATATTATCATCATTTGCACCCTGTCAGCAAGATACGAAAGGACCATAGGATAAATGTGAATAAGGCCTTTGTATATGGATAATTTATGGCAGTCTTTTTTGTATTTTTCTTTTAATTTAGACCACGTCATCGCACTCATAAAAAAAAGCAACAGAAGAAACGGGGCCCCCTCTGCCCTTCCCGTGCAACATCACTAAAGTCTCCAGGGAGAAAGAATGGTAGGAAGCATTAGTTTCTGAGCTGGGATACTTCAGGTTCAAATCCCTGCTCTTCCATTGACCATCATATGGGATCTTGGGCAAATATATTAGCTTATCCAGACCTCCATTTCCCCTTATATTTGTTGAGAATAACATCTCCACCCCTCCTGCAAAGGAATATTATATAGATAAAACTCTGAAAAACAAGGGGAAATTTTAACCACAACAGATGTGGGAAAATTTTCCCATTTTACAGTGGGAAAATGGACACACAAAGAGGCCAAAATAACACTGAAAAGTCAAAGTCAAAAACAGGGTAAAGGTTTGGGAGCTCTGTTTCTTTTAGGTTCAGTATCAAACTGACAGAGTTTAAATATAAATAATAGCTATGAATTTGCTACTGGTGTTTTTTAATGACAAAAGCAGCACCACGTGGTGACAACATGATTTGGTGCATGGGTTGATGCCTTTCCTATGGGAGATGCTAGGCAAGTCCCAGAGAATGGTATTATATATACCAGTGCTCTGGATGTCCCAGTTGTTTTCATTATCTCACCAAAGTGGTTTGTCCTGCCTTTATGCACCAAAAGAAGTAGGGTTACTGCTGTGGGATGTTGGAAAAGATATCTTCAAAGAGGAAAATTTTCCTCATGGCTTACTCATCCTTTTTGTACCCGGATGAGTTTCTGAGACTACTTTTACTAGGAGTAGCCACAACAGTCTCTGACTGTGGTCACACAGACTTAGTTGTCCAGCAGACATTGAAAGGGATGTTTGACAAGACACATTGGGACATCAGAGTTTTTGAATACCTGGTGTTTACCCTCTGACACTTGTAACTCAGCCTTAGTGACCTCATCTAGATTGTAAAAGGTTGATCAGCCTGGAGCAGGAGAGGGGTCACTTCACAGAAAACCTGGAGGCCAGCGACACAAACTGCCTCCTTGTTCTGAGAGCACAAGACACTTGTACAACTTGCCTAACCCACACTCTCCTGGGTGCCATGCTCACACTGAGACTGGGAGTCTCAATGTGTGTGCATCCCACCCTGAGCTCCCAAACTCAGCACCTCAGGCCTCACGCATTTACTGTGCAGCCTGTGGCTGCCTGCCCTCCCTGTCACCCCACCTTCACTGGGCAGCTGTCACCACAAGCTCTGCTGTGCTCCCCAGCTGTTTACAGAGGGAGAGTCCCAGAGCAGGGAGGCCATGGGGATGACTCCTGGATGGGCAGCACACTGTGTGCCTGCTGTCCAGCCACCTCATGGTGGAAGCCAAACACCACCAAGAGCAGAGCACAGGCTGCCTTCTATGTTCTTCAGTCCTTACAGAGACCTGGCAGTCTCTGGAGCTGCAACCTGTGATCTCCATCGGTTGTGGGCTAGGGGCAGGTAGAGGAGGCATTCCCAGTGCCACTTGCTCCACTACTGGGGCTGCTCACAAATGATTAATCCCTCCTTTCCCTGCTGGTTTTTTTTGCTGAGTTTCTTTGCCCACTGATAATTCTCTGCTCTGGCTTTCAAGTCCAGAATAAGCTTTCTAGCCAGCCTTCCTCCTATGTTAGTTCTGAACACCTTACTAACTGTTATGAGCACAACCTGCCCAAAATAACACCCCTTGCTGGGTTTGCCCTGTTGAGTCCCAGTAGCTCTTTGTGGAGAACTTCTCCCAAAATGTTCAACAAATACTAGTTGGAGGGGCTACAAAAGAAATGCCTTTGCGTTAGTCCAAACACAGATTTGCTGTCTGACTAGGCCTGATATCAAAGCTCTTGCAACTGAAATAAACCTTAATAGTGTTTCACTCTGTTCTTCATCAACAGGAGGTTCAAGATGTAAGAGGCAAGCATTGTAAGCCGTCTACAGGATTTCTTACTGTAGGACCCAGAGAGCAGATAACCAGTATTAGGGAATGAATACATTTTTCCTGTTATCATGCAGCACAAAAGCAACGCTTCACGCATTTCCAAAGGGTTTTTTTTTTCTCGTTTGGGTTTTTCCCCCCCTTGCACAAATTGACTTGCTTTCACAGTGCTATTTTTATGTAGTTAAGATGTAACTATTTGAAAAAAAATATGTTTTTTACAGGTTGGTTTATTACCTAGCACTGGGGGCAGATACCAATTTAAACTAACCCTATGTTATATAATATTTTATTACCTTTGTTATGTAGAGGTCCTGCTTTATTTAACTTTCTTTTGGTTCATGCAAGTCTCCTGGAGTTTTAAACCGAGAAGGACATGAACTGTACAGTGCAATGATGTTGTGTGTAAGTAGTGGAGGAACTCCTTGCCTCCAGAAGTCATAGAGACCAAGAACATAGGAAGGCTAAAAAAGCATCAGATAAAAGTAGACAGCATTACCCTGGGTGGCATTTGGGGTGAGGGATTAAACTCAGGGCTGCAGGGCTAAAACCCTTCTCTGAAGATCAGAAACTTCGGTCACAGCTGTGAGCAGCTGAGCCAATGCATGTTTGGTATTGCAAGGTGCTAGTACTTGGTTTGTAGTAGTTGTGTGTGTTAGGAGCCACAACAGCAATCTGATGTCATCTGGCGTTTCCTATGTTCCTGTGTTTCTGATGACAAATTTAGCAAAAATAGAAGGAATGGGTTATTAAAGCTCTAAGCACACGACCATGTTGCAAGTCACCGGAGAAGTCAGATATGCTGCCATGCACCAGGTATCTCTTCCCACCCATCCACAGGAGGTGACTTCAGCTTGCCTGGCTGGCTTTGCACTGAAGTAGGCTGAGATGCATTCACCCTTCACCAATGATGCTGTAGGTCTGCTACTGAACAGTCACACCTCCCTGAGGGCAGTCACATCTTTGATTACTCTGGAGATACGCAGAAGAGGATATCTGGATGTATCTTTGGAAAAAAAGAGATGCCTGGGGCAAGAGAGGGTCTGTCCAGTTTTTGGAAGGAGTGGTATTTCTTGGGTGTGGAAATGAAGGCCAACACTCACTGTTCACCACCAGTCGTGGCCTCATTTGCTGGTGAACAGAATAGCCTCTGGAATTTCCTTTGCAAAGTACAGCTGGGGACAGGCACCACTCCTTGCACCAATCCCCTCTCTAAGCCAGAAGTTTCTTTTTCCTGATTCCTGCCTGTATACACAATATCTGTTATATAGTGTATGGAAAGATACCTGCAGCACTGATAATGATGTTATGGTGTGCACTGGGATCTGGGGGGAAGCACATTAGTGCAGCACAATGCTTGTGTTTGTGTGTATCTGTCTGTATTGTAAACAAAAAATGTTGTAAGATTGTCTTTTTTAGTGAGCTGGTTGCTTCAAAAGGAATCTTCCGTCTTCCCTGTGATCACAAAGGAGTGTTTCACTAAGCACTCCTTTTTTGTGGTAGGCATCTTTAATGCCAAAGCGTCACTTTGGCTAGCCAGGGACTACCTTATTTCCATGTGGATTCAGGTAAAAATCTTGTATCTTCCTCTCTGCAAAACAGGGCTATTGCAGAGAGTCCTTCAGCTGGGACCACATCACCTCATTTGCTTTAAAGCAGAAACCAACTGCTGTGCCTAAAATGTTTGTGTGTGTGATTTTGACATTCCTTCTCTTGTCATCATACCAACCTGGTGCTTAAGTATTTTTGTCTCTGTTTTGAAAGGTCTGGTACCACTGTATTTGACGAGAATTGGAGTGTTGATTTAGTATGAGTAGGATCAGATCCTCTCTTTAAAGGCTAAAGACAGAAAGAAATTTTATGAGAAAACCAGAGTTTCTAGTATCCTCCCTGGAGCTATACTTTATATCGTAGGGTCCATCTCCTGTCCCACATATGCACCTGCAATTGCTAGTGGTTTGTGAGAGACAGACTTGTGTGTGTCACAGCCAAGAATGACTGCAGGGAAAGTGTGCAAGAATCTTGGTTTTGACATAGACACAGAACTTCTCAGCCAGGAAGGTGCATTCTTCACACATAATTCCTATCAAAGAACAGCTTGAGGTCTGATTCATTCCCATTGGAGTAAATGGAGACTTAAATAATTCTCTGATTTTGATTCAGCAGCATATCTTGCTAATGATAATAGGGGCCATGACCATTTTTTTCTGGGGGAAACATTGGCTTTCTGGTGAGAAGATGAGTGGGTAGATGTGACTGTACAGCTTTGCCAGTGCTCTGCTGCAGTCCTTGTTAACAGGGAGTGCATCTGGGGTCAGCACCGTCAGGGAAGGGTCCCTGGGAACATGCCAACCCCACATTACAGCCTGGGCAAACAGACTGCTTTGACAGGAGCATTGAGATGGGCAGTGCTGAAGCACCCCAGCCAAACCCCAGGATCCCAGCTCTGGACAGTGTAGCCAGGTAGAGGAGATACACCAGGAAAGGGGGTCATCTGTCAGCCTTCTCTTCTGGGTGCAAACCAGTGAGTGCTGCAGGGGTAGACTGTGCTAAATGAAGGGCATTAGCTCCTGGGAGAAGTCCATGAGTAGCAGCAGGAAGGAAAGGCACTCCATGCAAGACTGGGAAACATTTACAGCCAGGTGATGATTGTCTGGGTGCCTTGTGGGCCATCTGCCCCTGACATTTCTTGAGACTCACACAGTGACCTGGGCCCTGACACCTCTGTGCTGGTGACACTTCACTACTTACATAGCTGAGACCACTCAGGGCGTGGGGCTGGCTCTCGGGGGCCAGCACCATGTCCCTCTCTTGCCTGGGCGAGGTTGAGCACAGCTTGAATGCAGACATGGCACAGACCTGGCCAGAGACTTAAATGAGAATCTGCTAAAAGCTTTCTCTTACTTTAGACCAAAATTCAACCTTGAGTGGGAAGCTTTGCTCTGTGCCTGACATTATTTGCATGATGCATTGGGAAGAACAGCCATGCCCTTCACACTGGAGAAATCAGTTACTGGGCTGCCCCAGTGCACCACATGTCGTTCCTTCCCTGCACCATGACTGGAGCAGGCTGAGAAGCAGCACTAGCAGAGTCTCGCTTGGGGAGAGAACTTGGTTTTCCTTTCTGCCTTTAACTGTTGACCAAAGACAGAATCAGGGAAAGGAAGCGTGAGGAGATGGGAGTGAGATAGGGACCACATGTGAAGGGGATGGAAAAGAGATGACACTGAACTGTGCTGAAAAAGCAGCTTCCATAAATGTGAAATCATCATGTGGGTATTTTCAACGTGCAGCTGTCAAATCCCAAGGTTGGATTATTTTTTAAGACTAGATGGTATTTATTGCTGTGTAATTTTTTTATTTATACTAGCTTTATACTTGTATGTATGAATATGTTATCTGAATTCTGCCTGAGGAAGGATGAAGGGTGACTTTCTGATGTGTTTTTAACTAAGGTGTTTTAGAAATGATGACTGTTTATTTTGCAATGAAGGCTATATTTGAAGTTAAATATACACTTTCTGTTGAAAATGCAGTTCCTATAGAATTCTTTGTGGCCATTTTCCATTTGCTAGCCTCTAAAGGGTCCTCCTTTTCTCTGGCAAGTAGTTTTTTGTGATGTGATTTATAGTAGCCAGGATTTTTTGTGAACTCATCACCTAAAATCTGATTTTTTTTCTTTACCAATATCCCACCAAGACAAGCCTTGTCTGAAAAGATGAAACCCTGGTGGCCACAGAGAAGAAAACATGTATCATGATGAAAGGGCTGCATGAACCTCCCATCTTCCACACCTTAACAACTCAGTTTTGTCAGAATTGTCACAATGTGGTAAATACTGTACTTTATATTTTTATTAAACAAAAAGAAATATCTTCCCAAATAATGTGAAAAGGGTTTTGTATTTGTGTTTCTTTAAGGCAGCTTTTATGGAGGAGCTATATTATGCTTTTGAAATTACTCCTTTCATAGAAAATTTGGAAAATAAACATTTATATTGTTGTAATTTCTCCCATAAATGTGTATGCACTTAAAATTTTCATAATAAAAATGTCTATCCAAATTAAATTTTTACTCCTAATTTTTTTCCTCACATACAAACAACTACAAGTTCCACTCAGAAAAAACATTCAGAGGTAGTTTAAGTAAATGTCCAGTTTCAAGGATACTTCCATATAGCCCCAATGGCTCAGACTCTGCAGGGAACTTGAGGCAAAGGGCCCATGGGTCTTGCAGGGAGAAGCAGCCCAGCAGATTGAAATGGGCCATCTTCAAAGGGAAACACTACCATTTGCTCCCTAAACAGAAACCCAAAATTTGATTTTACTCCTTTTCCCCAAACTTGTCCCTGCAGCATTTTGACTTCAGTGGAACTGAGAAGTGTGAGCTGGTTTTGCTCCAGCAACAGGGACGTCATCATCATCTGTGCTGAGGAAGGGATAAAGGTTTCTCTGAAAAACCTGAAGGGTGTCAGGGGATGCATTTGACGAAAGAGCAGATGTGAGAAACACTGTCCTTGGGGCTGCTTTTCCCATGGCACAACAGGGTCAATATTCAGTTTGGAGGTGAAGAATGGCTCTGGAGGCTTGTAGAACTGACCTGAGAACGTGGTGGTATAATCCTAACTTGGATAATGTTGTAGGAAATTTGCTACGTGTTTAAAACTATGAGTTGAAAACTGTCTTGTCACTGCCTTTCTCCATCTCTGAGTTCTCATGGCAAGGGGAAATATGTTTCCTGAGGTCACCCTGGGTTCCCCACACTGACCTCCTCCAACATGCCCATCCTCCTCCATCCATCCACAGCAACAACACAAGTGAATCCCAGAAGTATGTACAGCTCTGGCTGGAGCAAAGTTTAGGGATAGTTTAATATAAGAGAGAAACAGTACTTGAGCCTTACCAAGCTTCTTGCTCAATAAATATTTCTTGGCCAAATTGACGCAAGGCAAAAGACATGCAAAAAAAAGGAAAAAGGAAACTCATTTGACTGATGATCCCATTGCAAATCCAACCATGATTTACTAAGAGACTATGAAAATCTCAGCAGGTAATTCTGAGTGCAGATGGTTAGTAAGTGATTCCCAGGGCACTGTGAAATGCATTGGGAGTAACTAGCTACAAAATTACACATTAAGCACAAACCCCATGTTCTGTGGAGCCCTTTGCCATGCCTTTCATCAGGTCTTTTCTCTTGAATGTGAAAGTTTTGGTTCTTACTTCCTCAGCAAAGCTTCACATCACTGTATTCATAAACTGCCTAGGAATTGGAGGTGAAGCCACCTTATTAGCACATCTGGCTCTCTTCATAGGCAGCTTTCCAATATTAGCAAGCTGAAGGAAATCAGCTGCATTCATGGCCTCAGCCATCCTGACACTGATTATGGGCTGGATTTATTAGGTCCTGGCATGGTATAGGTCAGACGACAACATGGTAAATGCCTCTGCTTTGTAGGACCAGCTGGGATGTTACCACTGAGGATGTTACCTCGGATGCTACATGGTAAGGGTCACTCCTAGCTTCTAGTGAGCATTTGCCTGTTTTAAAAAGCTACTTGCTCTCAAGTCATCCCAAGAGTCCTTCAGACAAAACAAATATGCAGATTCGAGACTACCAAAGGCAAAATTAAAAAAAACAAAACCAAAAAACCCAAGGTCTAGAAGCTGAAGCCAGATAAACTCAAACTGAAAACAGATTTTTAAGTGTGGAACTGATTAGCCTTTGGAACACATTCCCCTAGAGAGGGGGGAAGGAAAGCCCTAATCCTTCCTATGCCTTCAGATCAGGGCTGAATGCCATTGTGTTGTTAGCCATACACAGCTCGCTGGGCTCTCAGGGGACATGGGGTGAAGTTCTCTTGCCTCTGTTACCAATAGTGTCAGACAAGATGAGCTAAGGATCTCTCCGGCCTCAGAAACACATATGCAGAAAACCTCAGTTCCAAGGGAGCATTCCTCACCTGGTCTGTGATTAAAAACACCCGCATATCATCAGCCATCCCAGCTCCATTTCGACCAAGGCTGAGGAGGACTCCTGCTGTTACACAGGAGACAGATTTGAGGTAAAAGGATTCTATTTCTGGTCACAAAGGTTGCCCTCCAGCTGCAGGGGCAGAGGCATGGCAGTGAGAGAAATCTGCAGCCCTTTCCCAGGTCCATGCACCTCCCAACTCTGGGAGGGAAGGTCCGCTAACGTGGTTCCCCCTGGATCACACTGCTCACACTGATGATCTTGTAGGAACTCCTGGGGTTTCTTCCTTTGTCCCTTTTGCCTCTTACCCTTATTTCTCGTTTGTTCTCTCCCCTGGCTCTTTGGGGGACTTTCTCTTTCCTCTCAAATCTAGTTATCCCATCCTAAGGGGCAAATCTTCATGATTTAAAGCCATTCTCTGCCAGTTATCAGAACCTTCCTCCTGCTTCCTCATCCTTGGTTCTCTCAGGCTAGGGCCAGTCATCCATTTCCAGTCTCTGAAAGGGGTGGAAGGACATTTCCCTTCTGTCCTTTGCAGTCACTGTATCAGAGCAGGATCCAGGGTCCTCTTGGAGAAAAGCTGCATGACTGCTGCTGTGGAGCTGTTTGTCTTTTATGCTGTGGGGCTCATTCCCATCTGTGAAGTCTGATCTATCTTCCCCTGCCTGCACCAGCAACACCCTTTGACACATCAGCCTGTCCTCAGCTCCCAGCTCCTCCTACAGCCAGCCATTCCTCACGGTAGCTGCTGAGGAAAAACAACCACCTCTTATTGCTGCCTTCCCACTCACTGCCAGCAAACAGAGCCAAACCCTGACACACTGGCTTTGTGAGCTGGTAGAACCAGGGTAGTGCTTTAGGCTTTCAGCAAACCCAAGTCAGACCACCGTGGCTGGAACGGAAGGTGAAGTCTAGCACACTCTGTTGAGAGGTGGAAGAGCACAACCTAAGAACAGAAGGACAGAGGTTTAAAATGCTGCTGTAGCTAACTGAAACCTCCAAAACATGTGTGATTCTTCCATCCCAAAGATCAGCAATCAATTCCAGCTGCCTAGCATGCCGTGTGATTTATTGCAGTGCTTGGAAGAAGACTTTGGCTGTCGTGAAACATATTTGTATGTTGCCTGTAAAAACAGCAAATCTGAAGAGAGGACTCTCTGGATGTGATTCAGAGTGTGTAACAAAACAGAGATCACCAAGTCCTTCCACTCACAGTACCACACCAATACATAAAGCCAATGTAAGTTTAGTATCTAGCACGCATTATCTGTTTTGCCTCTGAGCACCACAGGGAGACTTAAAATACTGCAGACTATACTGTACAATTCCTATGCAAAGGGAAGACTACTTACAGGAGCAAATGCCAAGCCCCATTGCATAGCCTAGCCTGTGTTTTCTAAATTAGAGCCTTTCCACAGGGCAGAGCACTAGTAAAATAGTTCTGCACATAATATTTGGAAATCGAGAAAAAAAGAGAGGAAATACTTCTTTCTTTCAAAATATAAATATTATGAATGCAAATAGGAATCTGACCCTGTAGGCCTGTTCTACAGCCACAAAAGCAAGTGGATGACTGCCATCATGCTTTGTGTCCACGTTCAAAATTAAGGTCTTCATAGTAACTTTCAGTTACTCGGCCTGGTTGTTCCAGTGATTCTCCTACCTGCATTATTGCCTGCTAAGCAATGTGCCCTAACCCTGTTACTGAGGTATTGGTACCACCCTCCCCACCCCTTGGGATCTCCAGAGCAGTCATCTGGTCTTGCCAAGAAGGGGCATTTCCAGAATTTATGTGTTGTACAAGCTTGTACTCCCCTCCTCTTTCATCTCATCTCCCAGTCTGATTTTCTCTCAGTCCATATTTTGGACAGAGTCCTGTTGTCCAGGAGTTGCACAAACACAGAAGGATAAAGACAATCCCTACCTGATAGATTTCATGGTCGAAGATCTGCTTTGCTGGGCTCTTAGTCAAGCATACATGTTGCAAGAAGTGCAAGTCTCTCTCTCTTCATTGTGTGTTGGACAATCATCACACCAGATGCAGGATGGCTTGTGAAGCAAATAAAGAAGTACAGATCATCTAATTTCACATTCATCTCTTCCACCATATGCAAGATTTGGTTAACAGAAAGGTTTTCAGTTCCTTGGAGGGGTGGAGTATTGTAAAAAGATAATGGAGAAGGGACAAGGAAAAGCAAAGCTTCCCAATCATTCAGTTACAAGAGATAAAGCCCGGAGAGCGATGCTCTGCAAGCAGGAGATGAGCAGGTCTGAGCTGTGCAGCTCCCTCCACAAAGTCCCCCCGTGGCTTGTTCCCATGTGCATTTTAGCAGCACTCACCCTGTGTATCACTGTTTTGGGCACCCAGCCATTCTCGCTCCTCCCTTCCTCTCCCTCCTCTTGCCCTTGCTCCTTCCTCACTTCTAACTACTATAAGATTTCTCTTTCCTGCTGCCATATTATTTGTTGCTGACTTTGGACATTCTTTATGGCCTTTCATCAGGCTTCCCATTGCTCACACGTTCTGCACTGGTTTGGCCTGCTCTGCCTTTTGTCTGTGCAAAAACAAAAGCTTCATCTGTGGCCCAGAGACCATGGTGACTTCAGGGCTTTCCCAGTGCCAGCACCTAATTGCAAACAAATGGATGTCCCCAGCTACATATCCAGCAATACTGTGTTTTGGGTGGGAGGGCCTGATTCTGCTCCTGCTGCACTGTGTTACTGGTGAAAGGCTCATGATTTACAGCAATGTATCTCACATTACCATCTGGCCTTCAGCAATCTAGTTGCCTTGGATGAGAAGGCATAAAAGCTGCACAATGCTCATGACATGAATATTTCTAGTGTCTGTTTCCCTTAATGTCAATGCATAAAGGGGAGTTGATTGCAATGAACAATCTGTATACTCTTCTGAAAATCCTCACAGAGCACAGAACTAAATGGCACAATGTTTCCACTCCATTTCTACCTCTCTTTGAAACCCACAAGGGGATCATCACTCCATGATACGGACTGCCAGAGAGAGGCATATGCAGCAGGGCATCATGTGGCTCACATGCTGTGTGCAGGCTCTGTGCTGCCTGCACGTGG